TGTATGGATCCTTGAAGTCTTTGAAATGCTTAAATTGTAATGCGTTTCGAAGATTTGAAAAGTATTTGGATAACATTGGAGCATATACACAGTATGTAGTGATAAGATATGTTTCCACCAAAATCTATTGCATAATGTGTATTTACAACGTTAGCACAGTGTGGTGTTTAAATTGTTTTAAAGTGCATTCAAAAAGTCAGCTAAAGTGTTTTGATTCGGTATGCGGTGATTTATTGTAATTCGGTGATTTATCTTGATAAAATGACTAATGCGAGGAAATTGTCAAAATGCTACTATTTTTATTACTTAAAAATACATCCATAACTACTGTATGTAGACATATGTAGTCAAACAACTATAAGGTACTGAAAAATGTAATGTTGTTGGTTTAGCTTGAAAGTGCAAAGGTAAATCTGGACACATTTAGTGTGGTGTTAAACTTAAATGGGTTTGCTATTTAATATTAAAGGTTAGATTAAAATGTAATATGATTATTCAAGTTTTATCTAAATACAAATCTTGTGAATTTGTTTTGGAATGCAGTTTGGAAGATTCTGGCACTCATTTTGTTGATCTTGGTAGTGTTACTCATTGCTGTGTGGTGGTTTTGCAGCAAATTGGTGGTGAGTTATTATTATTATTATTATTATTATTAATATTATTGTCTAAAATGACCAAATCCCAGTGATGCATTATGATACAATAAACAATACAAATATTGGTTTCAGGAGAAATGCTTTTGAAAGTGCGACACCAAGAAAAACAGAAGTATGTGAAGGTGACAGAGACTGATGGGATATACTGTATGATTATCAGCAGTTCAACCAAGCAGGTTCATCCTCTTTTTTGGTCTTTGATTTTGTAAAAGAAAGTCAATTTAAAATTGTGCTGTAACTTTTTAGACATTGTGGTTAAACATCAAAACACCAGCTATATGCTCACGTTTATTGTCAAGTCTTTGTCACTCTTTTTCCAGTCAAAGAAAAATTTGGCTTGCCACAAGATGCTGAAATTATTTACAAGGATGAGTCAGGGACAGAAGTTGATGAGGACATCTTTGGAGATATTCTACAGAAAGGCGATGAGGTTTTGTTGAGAGCTTATTTGAATGATGGTAATTTATTATCTACATCAACCTGCTTTGGCATTTTTCATTAATAGTCATTAAAAACAGTTAAGGATTAACTTTCTGTTGTGAAATCATAACACAAAANCACCTCTGGTGGAGCCCCCCCCTCACTCCCCACACAAACTGCCCGCCCCCTCATCAGCGCCAATCAACACCTATTGTTTTGCAAATGAAAGCGAGTTTCACGGTTTCAACCTCGGGTCTGCACAGAAACATCTTTCTAACAGTGTGGTCTGAGGAATCTTAAAATACATGTATATTATAATCGTAATTTGAAATACAATTGAATCCCCATTTCTCGATTCAGCAATTGCGATTTCAGTTTCCCGAAAGTATTTGAAAGAATAAATAAATGCATTTGCTTACTGTCTGTAACAATCGGTGTTAATCTCTTTTTCAGTTTTAAAGTTCAGTCAGGGCTAAAACGAATTAATTGATGTATGTCGTTAAAATTACCCTGGCATGACATTAGTGCGATATATGCATTATAAATATGCCGACAGACAAAGCATTTTTATAAGTAATGAAGAAAAAAATGGAACTTGCAACTTAGAATGTGTAAAGACCGTATGAAGTCCAAGCACACAAAAGACTACTGATTACTATCTCGATCTCTTATGAGATGGCACAATGCGGTTTGCACGTAAACACTGATGACGCTACCTTCGAAAAAGATTGTGCAGTTATGAGCACACGAAAGACTATAAATTACTCCGGACGTGTGTGCAGTTATGTATTGGATAATTCATGATGTACCTGTGAAACAGGATGGGCAGTTATGAGCACACAAAAGTGCTAATTACTAGAATATATACTGTATATATTGTATATACTGTATATTACGGTACAATAAAAAAGACTTTCACGTTCGCGTGTATGTTTCCGTATCACATTCAAGCGGTTATATTTGATATAATAAATAGATACAGTTGATGTATGCAATAATTAATCTGTTTAACCTAGTTTATTCAGTTGTAAAATGTAGAGCTAAAACATAAATTGATTTACGTATATCGGTAAAAGGACCCTGACATGACATTAGCGCGGTATATGCATTTTAAGTGTGTCACTAAGTAAAAAGGAAATATTGTTTATTTGAGGGGTGCCAAAAATGTTATGCGATGTAATGTGTAAAGTTCAACCTTTTGTTAGACCGCAACATGTGTGCATGAAACAGGATGTGCAGTTATGAGCACACAAAAGTGCTAAATCATATATATATTTATATATGCATATGCAATATATAAAACATGTATTCCTTACAACACACCGCTATATAAACTCTTTAGTGCAGACCTGAGCTGAAGAAGTGACTTCAGGCTGGGGGATGACTTTGACTGAGTGACTGTGTTTCATTTGCAAAACAAAAGGTGTTAATGGTGCTGGAGAGGGGGCGGGCAGCTTGTGTGGGGAGTAAGGGGGGAGGGGGGCTCCTCGTGAGGAGAGCCTCATTTTTCCAGGAATTCTAGTGTTAAGGAACTCCGGGCAGATCTCATCCACCCCCGGGGCTCGGCCACTGAGGAGCTTTTTAACCACCTCAGCAACTTCCGACCCAGAGATAGGGGAGTCTACACCCAAGTCCCCATGCTTCCACATTGGAAGGCATGTCGGTGGGATTGAGGAGGTCTTCGAAGTACTCCTTCCACCGACCTAAAACGTCCCGGGTTGAGGCCAGCAGCATCCCATCCCCACCATAAACAGTGTTGATGTTGCACCGCTTTCCTACCCGGAGCCGACGGATGGTGGACCAGAATCATCTCGAGGCCGTCTGGAAGTCGTTTTCAATGGCCTCACCAAACTCCTCCCAAACCCGAGGTCTTGCCTCAGCGACCGCTGAAGCTGCATCCCGCTTGACCTGCCGGTACCTGTCAGCTACCTCTGGAGTCCAACAGGCTAAAAAGACCCGATAGGACTCCTTCTTCAGCTTGACGGCATCCCTCACCACTGGTGTCCACCAGCGGGTTCGGGGATTGCCGCCACGACAGGTACCGACCACCTTGCGGCCACAGCTCCGCCTCCACAATGGAGGCACGGAACATGGCCCATTCAGACTCAATGTCCTCTGCCTCCCCCGGGACATGGAAGAAGTTCTGTCGGAAGTAGGAGTTGAAACTCCTCCTGACAGGGAATTCCGCCAGACATTCCCAGCAGACCCTCACTATACACTTGGGCCTGCCAGGCCTGACCGGCTTCCTCCCCCACCAGCGGAGCCAACCCACCACCAGGTAGTGATCAGTTGACAGCTCCGCCCCTCTTTTCACCCGAGTGTCCAAGACATGCGGCCGAAAGTCCGATTACACGACTACAAAGTCGATCATCCAACTGTGGCCTAGGGTGTCCTGGTGCCAGGTGCACATATGAACACCCTTATGCCTGAACATGGTGTTCATTATGGACAATCCGTGATGAGCCCAGAAGTCCAACAACAGAACACCACTTGGGTTCAGATCGGGGGGGGCGTTCCTCCCAATCACACCACTCCAGGTCTCACTGTCATTGCCCACGTGAGCATTGAAGTCCCCCAGCAGAACAAGAGAGTCCCCAGAAGGAGTGCTCTCCAACACCCCTTCCAGGGACTCTAATAAGGGTGGGTATTCTGAACTGCCTCTTGGCGCATAAGCGCAAACAACAGTCAGGACCTGTACCCTCACCCGAAGGGAGGCTACCCTCTTGTCCACTGCGGTAGACCCCAATGTACAGGCGCTCAGCCAGGGGGCAATAAGTATGCCCACCCCCGCTCGGCGCCTCTCCCCACAGGCAACTCCAGAGTGGAGTCCAACCCCCCTCAAGGAGACTGGTTCCAGAGCCCAGGCTATGCGTCGAGGTGAGCCCGACTATGTCTAGCCGGAACTTCACCACCTCGCGCACCAGCTCAGGCTCCTTCCCCATCAGAGAGGTGACATTCCATGTCCCAAGAGCTAGCTTCTGCAGTCGAGGATCGGACCACCAAGGGGTTCATAAGGGGTCTTTTGAGCCGCACTTCGTCTGGTTCCTCACCCAGGACCTGTTTGCCTTGGGTGACCCTACCAAGGGCATAAAGCCCCGGGCAACTTAGCTCCTGGGATCACTGGAACACGCAAACCCTTCCACCACGATAAGGTGTCGGCTCCTGGAGGGGGATTGTCCCCACAGGCATATAAACCCTGCCCTAGGTGATCTGAACCAGAGTGAATTTCAGAAGCTTGCTTTGATGTCTTGTATGATTTGCCACTCCACTCAACATATAACGCACCCTTCCTAGTTCTCACCCCCAGCTAGGGCTATAGTCAGTAGTGCAGAGTTGGTTGGCAATCACTGTCATTGGCTTTGGATGAAACTGAATGTTCAGTGCTGTCACTTTGACTTCACATGTCTCATGTGTTTTTGGAGTGCTGGTGCTCAGGGATTCCTAATGCCTTTGTTCCCTCCCACCTCTCCACCTGGTTTAGCTGCTTTAGTTAATTAGAGCTGCCAGAGCCTCCTAGTGCCGACCGCACTACAAATTACCTCATATAATTTATACTATTTGTCACAATGCTCCCATGTCACATGTCAATGCTCTGTTCAATTCTCTGTCCTGAAGCTCTAGATGGTGGGCAAATCCCTACCTGCCCACCAGAGGTGCATAATTCAGGTCCAGAGAGTCTCGACTTTTACTTTCTGGACCTGAACTACCTACGTGTGCTGCCCACCCAGCCAAGCTACATCCTCCCATGGTTGCTGCTGGACCACACCACCGCTCCCTCCTGCTGAAGGAAGCACCTGCCTCTCCTGACATCAGCTGGATCTTCCACATTTATACCTGGATTATATACCATTTTACTTTATAAACCAGGACTTTGTTTTTTTGGATTTCCTCTGCTGGCCCCTAGAGGATGGGCTCCCCCTTTTAGTCTGGGTTCTCCCAAAGTTTTTTCCTACCAGGGAGTTATCCTTGCCACTATTGCCACTGGCTTGCTCTTTGGGCTCATTGGCCAGGGGCATTGTGAAGCACTTTGACACAATGTAATATTGCGCGTTATATAAATGGATTGTGTGAGCATGGGGGAGTCATGAGGTCACTGGAAAGGGGTGGTGGTGCTCCTGATATCTTTACAAGAGGACAAAGGTCCAAGTCTTTAGTCCTGGTGCTTCCTGTCTTGCTATACGGCTGTGACACATGGACTCTATCCAGTGACCTGAGATGAAGACTAGACATGTTTGGCACTGTGTGTCTTTGGAGAATCCTTGGGTAACACTGGTTTGACTTTGTGTCAAACAGGCAGTTGCTCAGGGAGCCCTGAATGAGGCACATTACCTACATTGTGAAGGAATGTCAGTTACGGCACTATCGCCATGTAGCGCGTCCCTGAGGGTGATCTGACTCATAGGCTCTTCATTGCTGAGGACACAGGCGGCTGCACCAGGCCAAGGGGACACCCACGATAGCACCTGGTTGCAGCAGACAGACAGTCATTTCTTGAGGGTGAGACAGGACTGCAGGTCTGCCTGGGGGGTTGCTGCACCAGTGCATGCTCCCCAACCTGACCTGACCTGATTATATAAATACAGTGGTACCTTGGTTTACGAGCATAATTCGTTCCGGAAACATGCTTGTAATCCAAAGCACTCGTATATCAAAGCGAATTTTCCCATTAGAAATAATGGAAACTCATATGATCCGTTCCACAACTCAAAAATATTCATNTTTTATTGAGTGATATGCAGTATAGTTCTGTATGTGACTATCATGTTGTATATGTTACACAGATGGTTTGTGCTACACTGAACTCTAAACCAGGGGGTGACAAGATCCTGAATGAGTATGACAAAACTAAGAGCCTGTCAGACAGCACCAGGAGACAGCTAGTGAATATTCTTGTTGCTGACATGGTTGAGATCCATGGGTATGTGTTTAAAGGTTAACTATTAAAAATGGAATTTGTTCCATGGATATATTTGTTCCGTATATTTCATGGTTTTTATGTTTTCAGGCGAGTACCCCCTCAGAATGTGCGCATCAAATATGCTCAAGGAATTGTGGCCTTGTTTCCATATCTAGAGGATCCTTTCTCAAAAAATGGATATGTAAGTTTACACCTATGTATACTGGTAGAATAGTGGTTAAAGAAGTGCTTGTTACTGGTTACTGGAACAGAAGATTACAGCTACTGCTGAGAAAAGGTTTTACATTTATATGTATATGTAACTTGATTTATCTATTTTTGCAGGAACATTTCTATGATCCAGCAAGTGGAAGCGGCTATCTTGCTTGGCGTTTGAAAACTGTTCAGCGCAACACCACCATGAACTTAAAAAGTGGCAAACCAGCTCCAGAATATGGTGGCCCACAGGTTCAGCGGAGCCCTGTTACCACTCAACAGCAGCTCACTGGTGATGAGTGTCGTGAGGCAATATCTATCCTAAACCATTCCTCGGATCAGACCGTTGTACGGGAGAAAATGAAGGCTACTTTTGAATACCGACAAAATTTAGTTCATGATGCGGATAAGTCCACGGACATTTTGGATACCTTCCCTAGGTTTCTTGACACAGTTGGCCTTGTAAGTGATATTTTTATACTTATTCAGAAGTTTCTGGTGATCTTGTTGAAGTACAGTATAAGGAGTTGAATTTGTAAGAAGGTGATGGTAAGAAGGATTTTGTGTTGATGCTGTTTTCATCTTCTGATTTAAGATTGAACAAGACTTCATCATGATGTTTGGAGAAGAGACAGCTGGAAAATTTCTTGCAAAGTGGCCAACATTCTTTAGGCCACGAGTACTTGAACAGAGTAAAGGGTTGGTTCTGAATGCCCATGTTGAAGATCTAATCAAGTCTGCACAAGGAGAAAGTGATTCTGGTAAGTACTATGTGTTGAAAAGAATTATTATTTTGAGTTAAGTTGAATCTATAATTTTTTTCGTCTTCTGACATGTTTAGGTTGGGATCGTGACCTTGCCTCTTTGTGCCTTCTGTTGCATCTTCTTCCTCCAACGGCGAAAGGTCATAAGAAGACCGCTAAAATCAGTACTCTTCAAGCAGAAGACTACTTTTTGAGGTTTCTGCAGGTATGTTTATCTGATTGGGTGTTTCGGCTATTTCATTCACTTACAGCATTGTACAAGGAGACATTTTGATTTTGCTTACTAGAATGCTGGCCAGCAACAGCCTCCTCAGTTTTGGACCACGTGCCATATCTTCTTTATTTGAAGTTTAATGCAAGGACAAACTAAATTTGATGCTTGGTATTAATGATCCATGACTTAATCTTATTTATTAGACATTAATCAAAACCTCTTTCACGATTAAAATTTCATAAAGTTGTTGTTATTATTACTGGTATTTTCTAAGAGGCTTTTGTGTGGTTCTTTACAGGTGGGGGCAAGCATCCAGACATTCCTGTCAGATATTGAACCATCTCAGCCTTTTTTGCTTTGCATTGGAGAACACAAGAAGAGGATCCAGAATTTCTATGTTATTCTGGACAATAAGGCAGTACCTTGTAAAGCACGGACATCTGTAGCAGCATTTGATGAGCTGTTCAAGGCACATTTTGTTTTCAGCACAGCATATAGTCAGGTACTTGACAGTTTTTATGTATTTATCCAAACTGCAGTGTACAATATTGATGTAGGTGTAATGAAAGAAAAGCCAAGAGTGAAGGAACTTAGAGCTAGGTTTCTGCATACCAAGACGTAAATATCTGGAATAACTGACTGATTACCAAAAATGTTTACTTGTTTTATTTGCAAGTCTCTTCATGAGAGTGTTTCATTTATTTGTCGCCATTTGAAATTTCACCATGGCTTTTACCCAGGAAAGACTTTACGTTTACATTGTGCAGAGACTGGCTGCTCATCTGTGTTTGGAACATTTTCTGGATTTAAAAAACATTTAGTTCAAGTTCATGGCACCTCTGTGCACCAATTTGGGATTTATAAGGAACATAGATCTAATGCCGGTTTGCTTTCTACTCACGAAACAGATATTACATTTACTGAAGTTGGTGAAGGATTCTCTAGAAGTGCAGATATAAAAACTCTGTCCCCTGTGACTGAAATTAATTTAAATGATGTGTGTGGTGCTGTAGTTGCACAGTTACAAGCTTCAGGAGTTGCTCATAGCACAGTGCAAACTGTTGTTCAATCAATGGAGAACTTAGTCAGCAATATTCAAGCTAAAACAAAGGAGGCTGTTCTCAATAAGATTCCATCTGAATATTGGGAGAAAGTTGAAGACTGCTTAATATCAATAGAGAACCCTTTTTCAAATTTTAATACGGAAGCAAAGCGTCAGAAATATTATAAAAGCAAATGGGAAATTGCGGAGCCAATTGAATACGTTCTTGGTGTCAGATTTGATGTGAGACGTGACAGAACATCAGGGATATACAGTCAAGTTCCTGTACAAGAAAAGTTTGTCTATGTCTCCGTTTTGAAAACAATTCAATCAATGTTTAGAAACAAAGAAATACTTGAAGCCTTCCAACTTCCAAAACAACACACTGAAGGTCTGTATGATGATATCTGTGACGGGGAATACGTAAAAAAAAATAATCTTTTTATGTCTGAAAATAACTCATTAAAGCTTCAACTTTATTATGATGATTTTGAGACGGCAAATCCTTTGGGTTCAAAAAAGGGAATCCACAAACTTGGTTGTATGTATTTCATTTTACGAAATCTTCCCCCAAAACTTAATTCAGTTCTAATGAACATTCACCTTGTTTTACTTTTTCACTCTGATGATGTGAAGAAATATGGATTTGATGCAATTCTTAAGCCTCTTGTGGATGATCTAAAAATTCTAGAAACCCATGGAGTTCTTACTCCTTTGTCTGACACTCCATTGAAAGGAACTGTTGTTCAGGTCACAGGAGACAACTTGGCTCTGCATAGTCTATTTGGTTTTGTAGAATCATTCACTGCAACATACTGCTGCCGCTTTTGTTTGGCTGAAAAAGATGCCTTCCAGAGGATCTTTACTGAAGACCATCCTGATGTTGTTTTCCGCACCAAAGAAGCACATGTTGTGCACTGCAATGCTCAGGAAGACGGTTCAAATTTGTCTTCCACTTTTGGGGTAAAGAAAGGCTGTTTGTTGAATAGCCTTAAGTTTTATCACACGTGTGAAAATTTTGCTGTTGACATTATGCATGACATTTTGGAAGGTGTGGCACAATATGAGTTGAAACTTGTCTATCAACATCTGCTGAAAGAGAATGTTATTTCTTTGACTNCCCTCCAGTACCCTTGCAAGGGTATAAAGCTGGTCCAGTGTTCCACGGCCAGGACGAAAACCGCATTGTTCCTCCTGAATCCGAGATTCGACTATCGATCTCACCCTCCTCTCCAGTCCCCCGGAATAGACTTTCCCAGGGAGGCTGAGAAGTGTGATCCCCCTGTAGTTGGAACACACCCTCCGGTGTAATCCGAGGTTCCACTGTAAATTAAATTGATCTGCTCCTGGTGTTTTCTGCAAAAGCCAAACTGTTAGGTAGCACGCAAACTTTCAAACTGTAGATTTCACCAAATTAAAAATTAGAATAAAGTAATCAGAAGATATAATAAAGTCATCAGAAGGGAAACTGAACAAGTTGTGTAGTTCGAACTATAGTTCTCGAGCTGCAGTTAGAAGCTTAGTGATTTAATAATCTTTAATACTTAATAAGGAATAATTTAGCTCTATGATCACATATAATGTGAAGTGGCCTGAAAATGTAGTTTGAAACGTAATTGTTGTGTGGGTCTCTGGTCATAAGTACAGTATGATTGTACATTAGATCAACAAATTCGGCAACTGTCTGTAGTGTAGAGCAATAGGGAGAATTCTCAGACTGCAAAGTATTGTATTAGCACAGGGGTGGCTAATTTTATTCAGAAAGGGCCGTTGGGCATGAAGCTTTTCGCTGCAACTACGTACTTAGAATAGTACGTAGAGGACTGATCGACTGAAGAGTTCGCATACCTGGGTTT